CATACAACGTCTCTTTAGGATGTGTAAAATTTAATTTGAAATAAGAGTCTATTAGTCAAATATTTATTCCACATATATTTGTTTGAATTACGAAATCTGAGCGTTTTAATTTAATCAAAATATAGATAAATGTTATCTTCAAGTTCGTGTTTTGTCTGCGCGTCATGATATATTGTTCCATAAAGTGCATTGTTAGGTTTTTGCACGTTCATGGTCAATATGCCAGATTATTGTGTTTCAAAATTGGGCATTCCTTGACAAGTGCTAAATATTTGCTTTGATTTGATTGATTTGAAAATGGCGCTAGAGAAAAGTTTTAATATCACTTACTATCAGTTGCAAATACTCGGTTGATAATATTATTGCAAATAAAATCCCAGTTGATTTGCTAGTATCAATATTTCCCAATAATCCTTGAGATTTTGTTTTAAATTTAGTACACTATTGATGACTATTTACAAAAAACCAAACATATCAGCTGTCAAGTGTCCAGATAAGATTAATACTATTTGTCAACTACCCGCAATGATACTAAGTGGAATTATTTGTATTTCAGATTCAGATAAGACCACTTACGATCCACCACCCAGGCCAGCCAGATTATCCGGCGCACCATGACCGATACCGTTCGATCCTAATCCTAGTGACTTTACAAGTTAAAAGCTGACAACTTTGCGTAGTTTTTTTCGTGTGTGTTTTGTGCGGTAATAAAACTGTACCCCATGATTATGGAGATGACGAACGAATATGCGGTAGGGAAGTGGTACGAAAGCCCTAGGACTGGTACTTCGGCCAGCCCTGCGCAGGGCAGTATCGAAAGTTCGGGAAATTCGGCGGACATCAATTCGAGTGTAGCGGAACATATGGGTGCCTTTTTCCTGGATCCGTCTGGATCTCAACGGGCCCGGTATTACCATCAGAGCATGCATGCACCGTATGGGAGCGTCGCCAGTCATGGTAAGTCAAAATTATTCCAGAGTTTTCACTTTGCTTCTATTAAAATATCATTGGGCCACTGTGTCTTCATTCGTTATCGATTATTGGCTGTTGTTTTGGTTTAATTAATATTGAGTCATTGTCTAAATGTGTTTCAAATATTTGTCTATTTTGTATCTACTAAACTTTTGTTTTACGGAGGCTCATTTTACCCTGATTTTTTGCTGCCTTCCTGTCAAAGTTCTTTGCAATTCGGAATTTTAATCCTACAATGGGATATTGGAATTGCTATAGTTCTGTCTTGACAGGTATCCAAAATTTTCAAAAGTCTTTCAATTTCTTGGTTTCGAAGATATTTTAAACTTAAATTGCTTGGTTTGAAACCCCATCGAATATGGTCTCTTATGAATCCAATACAGTCCAGACATATTTACCAACTTGAAACTCGGCTAAAACTTCTAATAAGAATATGTAATATTTTTAAAGCCCTTTTTAAAGCTTTGATTTTTAAATCCTGGCTTTAGACATCTAAATTACTTTTCATATCTTCATTTCTCAGTGTTGCTAATCAATAAAATCGTTTTGAGTCTTACGGTTTATTTCAAAAATTAATTTTAATTGCAAATATTTGATTTTGTATTTATTCATCTGTAAACTAATTTTAATAGTCCAGAACCATTAAAACAGGTACCAATGCAAACTATACCAAATTGAAAAAAATGTCTAACATTCAATTTAATGAAACTAATGGGTTTTTCGGTTTTTTTGGCCGTCGTTCTGAAGAATTTCTCCTTGACGTTTCGCAAGCACGAGTGGCTTGCATCTTCAGAAGTGGTTTGCTTGAACGCTTACACTGTTCTGATCAGAACAGTGTAAGCAGTTTTTACATCTTATACTTGAAGATGTCTCCTAATCAGCGAATGATTCATAGTTTGTTATTTTGTTTTATATTTTTATTCATTATTTAATTAAGAAATGTTATTGTGGTCTATTCTGTGATTGACGTGCATGAAAAAATACGAACTTGCCGTCCATAATCCCGACCTGCTAATGTTTTCTTTGCTGATTTTTTGTTTCGTTCGGCATTTATAAAATCAGTACTTATGCATTTTAAGTCTTAGTTCTTCAGCTCAATTTTTTATTGCCATTTATTGTTGCGTCAAGCTTTTTTAAATTAGAATGGCAACGCTTCAAGGAATTTTCTGAGTCACTGTCTCAGGCTGTTGAGTTTTTGTGTTTTTTAAATGTTTTTTATTTATTCTTCAAATGTGTTAAATGTGGTTCAAATAATGAAAAAAAAAACGAATTTTGCAATTTACGGAAGCGATGTTTTTCATGTATCTAATGTCCCTATAGATAGAGCTGGATGTAAAAATGACTTTACAATAAATAGAATTTTTAACTAGATTTGATGGATATTCTGCCTAAGAGAAATATCTATTTATTTCGAGTGCTACTTTATTAGCAGTAAGAAATAATGAATAAACCAATAGTAATCTCGCTTTCAGTCGTTAGAGAACTTTGTCGTATAGCAATTTCTCGATTTCGCTTCCTTGCTTTCGTAACGCGTCTTCTTTGTAAATTTTTATCAGCTAGTTTTCGTTCATAATTTTTTAGTTAATTTTTTCATCGTTTGCTATCAGAAGCCAACAACTTCTTTAGAGGTTCCAGACTAATGGTTTTGTACCAAAAAGCTTTAATGAATTTAAAAAGAAATTATACTCTTGAGCTTCCATTTTTGAGTCGTATTTCATTTCTCAGATGAGAAAAAATCTGCCAATTCCCAAAAATTTTGCAGTTTAATTTTCGCTTCACAGACTTTCAGAGGTCTTTGTCAAACCGCAACTGCTCACTCTTTATCTTCGCTACTGTAGTGCGTCTGCTTCGGGGATTTTCAACAATAATTTATTGTTCATGTCTTCTCAGCTACTCATAATGATGCATGCCAAGGATAATTAATAAATACTAAAATCTCCATAATAACTAAAAACTATTCGTGCACCGTCTAAGCTTTGCCCGCGCAACACCAATTAAATTTGCATTTAAAGTAAAATATTTTATATGTGGTCGTTAGTGAATACGTACTTTTTCGGGATAATTTACCGGCCATCCTTTAGCTTTGAAATTCTCGGCATTCCTCAACGATTCCGATTCCAAGAAAACCCGGGACGGTTTTGGAACCGGTAAAAGTTATAAATAATAAAACTACCGAATATAAATTCGGGCTTGTTACAGGCGAGTCGACGACGTTGCCTATTGATTTAATAAATTTTCAAAGAAGTTTTAAAATGTAGTTTATTTCATGGGAGCTTCGGGGACCGTAAAAAGTCACTGGGAGTTGCCATGGGACGGTTCTCACCAGGTTCGAATTACCGACGTTTACCTGAAAAGGGTTGAATGTGAAGGAGGATTAATGTTTTAATTAATTATTCATTGTTTTCTCTATAGCTAACACAGAAATCTGAAATCAGTGGCTGTTCTTACCTACTTGTAATGGTATCTAACGATAAAAATATCAAGAAAAAGTTTCTTTGTATTTTCTTTGCAAAATTATATCTGCCACGTTTTATATCTGACGTTCTACAACACTGTTCTTTTAGCAGAAAATGAGTGGTTTTGCGGCTTAAAAGGACAGTAAAGGGCTTACAAATGGTTTGGCTTGCAAATGTTACTTTTAAGCAGAAAAGCAAATGAAGCTCAAGCACAAAAAACTGCTTCAACCTGATGTGGATTCGTAGTTAATCTACAAAGTGGATCGATAGGCTATTTTTCTTTTTTAATTTCAGTACGATTAACAGTAAATTGATAATTGATCTATTAATAATGAAGAATTTAAAGTGAATGGATACAATATTCTGAGCGGAACATGTGCAATGCCCGAGGTGTGAAATCGCATAAGCTTTACTACTTTCAAGTGTGAACAAACGCTTAGCCAATGAGTTAGAGTGCGAATTACCTACCTAGAGCTTCGCACAAATTTAAAAGTTTGAAAAAAGCTCCGCTTGTTGCTTCACCACTTATGGAGTTATCAAAAATGTGCTGATGATACAGGGTGCTCCAATTTTAATCTGCTGGGCGTATTCTTTACGGGGACGGGAATATTTTTCATCTAAAATCATTAGGTGAAAACGGCTTTGTGAAAAAGCCAACAAGTTGCAATGCAACAATGCATGTGCTTGTCCAAATGGAGCGGGTTTTTCATTGAGTTTTATGCGAGATTTTGAAGGAGAGGCGCTTGTTCCATTCAGAATTAAGTTTGTTGGGAGTTCTGAGCTGTACTTTAATTGAGCATTATTATCTGCCGGAAATGCTTAATTGGGAGCATTTTTTTGGAAGATTTGCTAAATTATATGGCTCGTAGCTCAGCCCGGGCGGAGGTTTAGAAAATAGCGTACCTACCTACCAATAGGAATTTTGCTATTGTTTTAGGAAGTGGAATATTCCGAAGTTTACAGAGTAAAGTAATAATGCTCATTGAAAAAGTAGGTCGACTTTGTCAGGTATTGAAAGTTGAAAATTACTCGAAAACAATTCACTTTTTCAAAGTCTCAAGGCGCGCACTGCATTACTTCAAGTCTCTGCACATTGGGTGCATTTTCCATGTTTTTGGGTGGATATGGTGCATAATAAACGCCCCTAGAGTTTTGTAGATTAAAAATAAACCGCACTAAATATTTTCGCAAAGTAACTTTATTTACAACTTGAAACGTTAATATCGGAAAGTTTCAAAAATAGCTTCTTTGTGCCATCTTCATCGGCGACAGATTCTTTAGTGCAGCCTTAAATTGTTAAGTCTGAAGTCAGATAAACATTGAAAGAGCTCAAAGCCATAGAAACGTTGATAAAATTAATTAAAAAACATAACAGAACTGAGCACATCGCTATATTTAAATATGAATAAATAATAAAAAATGCAAATTTATGCGGCAATACATTAATTTTAATTAAAAGAATAAGTTGAAAAAACTGTATTGCAATTAGTAGTTTGGCTGGTCAAAAGATGAACATTTTAAAACATTCTTTTTATAAAATTTTACCAAAAAGCCTAAAAACTGCATTAGGTTTGCACTGCAGAAGTTTAGCTCGTAACTAATTTTAACTCTTTGTATCGTTGACTCAACAATTGAATTGGGTGAAAAAAGGTGAAAGATAGTGAATCAAATAAAATAAGTACAATTTTATTTAAAAAACACCATTTTTTCTAGCATTAAAAATAAATCAATTCTGTAATCAGCTTGAACCCATTTGATTTTCTAATGGTTATGGGCAACTGATTCAACAAATCATCATAAAATGCTCATTCAGTTCGTGTTGCCATCCATTTGATTACATTACAAAACCCATAATATTACCATTATTAAGCCATATTAATATTCTTTTATAAGTAATAATACCCACAGGTACCGCGATTTTGTTATTTAAATAGTCAGGAAGGAAGTGGAAGATAAAATCAGCCAATTGTAGCCCAGTGGCCTTATAAACAAAATGGAAACAAACGAGCATTGTGAAACGAAATGTATGCGGACCTTATATTAATGAGATTTAGCCGAATAATTAATTGCTCGAATTAAGGTATTAGTTGCTGGTAATTGAGCATTCGTTCGTTGGCCGTTGAACAGCATTTATGGAAACTATTTTTATTCAACCACGTAAATGAAGTGAGTGTTTTAATGAAAATCGATTTAAGTTATTAATACCAGTCCGCTTGCTGCACCCCATAAAAAATTAATCAGAAAAAAACTGTAATTAAAATTTTCTCGTTATACGTGTTGTGGTGTGTCTTCCCCATTAACCGTTAAAAACCAATCTTTTCTCGAGGTTGCAGCATACTACTTTTGGACAATAACATCGAGTTCACGGGACACGACCTTTCGAAATTAATACGCTCGTCTCAGCAAGCCCGGCATTAAAACCTAATAACCAATATTATCGAATTAATAAAAAAAAATCTCGTTGTAAGTGGGGTATAATAAGTATAGCTTTGCGCGATGTCGATGACTATAATTTTCGGTCTTATCGTC